TCCCAGGAAGAGGAGATGGATATGGTCCTTAGCTCCCCTTAACGGTGGTGACTGCCACTGTTCAGTTTGCTACATGATTACATCAAGGTAACCTGTACTGGTCCTTGCTAGTCTGTCCAGTTCCTGTTCCCGAGGGTTGTGGTGGTCCCTTCTCAACAGGCTGAATCACAGAATCCCTCCCAGCTATTATTAGTGTTTTTGAACCTGATGTCCAATTTTCAAATGTAAGCCACAGCCATATCTCACTGTCTCTGCTGCTGCCAAGAAATGAGGCTTAAGTTTTTGTAATGTTAAGAAACCCTTCACTCAACTGATATAGCCCCAATTTCCGAAAAGCAGATAAAAATATGAGATGTAAAATCAGACTTCTTGGATTCAAATCTTACTTCATCAACATAGTAATTCCTTCGACAAAAGCATAATTTCTCCGAGCTTCAAGTTCCTTGTCGATAAAAAAGGGGATAATATTGGTAGATAGCTCACAGAGATATTTGGAGGCTTAAACTAGTTAATGTTTCTTAAGTTTCTAGAATATTGCCTGGTAGTCAGTTCCAACACACAACAACCCTATAGGACAGGGTATACCGGCCCTCATGGGTTTCTGCGACTGTAACTTTTTATGCGAGTCGGTAGTTTTGAACTGCTGAGCTTTTGGCTCAGAATCAGTTCGATGGCAGAGAGTGAGTTTGATTTGTGGTTGTTATTGGGTGCAGTTGGAAATACTGGAAACAACAGAAGGAAACACTGCTCCTGTCCTGCACCATCCTCACAATTGTTCTTATGTTTGAGCCCATTATTGAAGTCACTATTTCAATCCATCTTGTTGAGGGCCTTCCTCCTTGTTGGTCCTCTCCTACTTTTTTTTAAATCATTTAATTAGGGGCTTATACAACTCTTATCACAATCCATACATACATCAATTGTGTAAAGCACATCTGTACATTCATTGCCCTCATCATTCTCAAAACATTTGCTCTCCACCTAAGTCCCTGGCATCAGCTCCTCATTTTTTCCCCTCCTTCCCCACTCCCCTCTCCCTCATGAATGCTTGATAATTTTTAAATTATTATTTTGTCAAATTTTGCACTGTCCAATGTCTTCCTTCAACCACTTTTCTGCTGTCCATCCCCCAGGGAGGAGGTTATATGTAGAATCTTGTAATTGGTTCCCCCTTTCCAAACCACCCTTCCTCCACCCTCCCAGTATTGCCACTCACACCACTGCTCCTGAAGGGATCATCTGCCCTGGATTCCCTGTGTTTCCAGTTCCTATCTGTACCAGTGTACATCTTCTGGTCTACCCAGATTTGTAAGGTAGAATTCTGATCATGATAGTGGGCACGGAGGAAGCATTTAGGAAACAGAGGAAAGTTGTAATTTTCATCATTGCTACATCGTACCCTGACTGGTTCATATTCTCCCTGAGACCCTTCTGTAAGGGGATGCCCAGTGGCCTACAAATGGGCTTTGGGTCTCCACTCCACACTCCCCTCCTCATTCACAATTATATGATTTTTGTTCTGATGATGCCTGATACCTGAACCGTTCGACACCATGTGATTGCACAGGCTGATGTGTGTCTTCTATGTGGGCTTTGTTGCTTCTGAGCTAGATGGACGCTTGTTTACCTTCAAGCCCTTAAGAGCCCAGACGCTATATCTTTTGGTAGCCTGGCACCATCAGCTTTCTTCACCACATTTGCTTATGCACCCATTTGTCTTCAGCTATCGTATCAGGGAGGTAAGCACACAATCATATGATTTTCTGTTCTTTGATGGCTGATAACTGATCCCTTCGGCACCTCATTATCACCCTGGCTGGTGTGCTTCCTCCCTATGGTTGCCCTTCTACTTTTCTAAGCATGTGCATCCTTCTCCAGGGACTGATTGTGGTAGTTACGTAATCTGGTGGCAATTTGAGGATTCAGAGTGAAGTGGTGGAGTCTAGGCTGTCAATCAGGCCATACCCAATGAGGCCGCTGTGCGGATATGGCCTTCTCCTGAGGTTTCTGGGAATTCCTGTATTCCTCCTTGGAGGTGGGTGACACTGTGTCTCTCGGCTCACTCCCTTGGAGACTCTCTACTGACAAGGCTCACTCCCTGTGAGACATCCCTGTGGAAAAGACACATGGAGAGAGGCTGATGGAGTCACCTCTGGAGCCCTTTCACCACTGAGTTGCTTATAATGCCACTGGATCCAAAAGACTGGATTTTCCTGCATTCAGCATCATTGCATGTGTTTCATGAGTGTAAAGAGGACTTTATAGATTGGAATCGACATACGGGCTAATATCGGACTTATAGACTTGATCTGGACTGGGCTGGGACTTTTTCTAAATATTCCATTGTTCTTGTATATAAAACACTTTCTTATACATATATGAGTCTCTATGAATTTGTTTCTCTAGTCTACCCAGACTTACACACGGTCTCTCCTGACAATATGTCCAGAGTATGTGAGGCAAAGTCTCTCCATCCTTTCCTCTAAAAAGCATTGTGACTATACTTCTTCCATGGCAGTTTTGTTTGTTCCTTTGAAATCCATGGTATTTTCAATATTTTTCATCTTCACTATAATTTAAATGTGTCAGTTCTTCTTCAGTTTTCTCAAAGTCCAACTTTCACATTGGTTCCTGGGTGGGACAAATTGGTATGAGATATCAACTCAAAGGTTGGTGGTTCAAATCCTCTCAGCAGTTCCAAAGAAGAAAGACCTCACTATCTCATCTATTGAAGGCCCTATGGAGAACAATTGTACACTGTAAAAATGTATGTTCTCCTCGGAAAAACATACTTCATTTTATGAGTGGCCTAACTGGTGGTCTTGGGGGTCACTGTTTTACTTTGAAATATGTGGGGTCACAGGTTGCTGCTCTTTGGATATGTAGTCATGAGATCATTGCATTACTCTGAAATACGTGGAGTCACCTTCTGTTCATTCAGTAGGCACTCTTGTTATTTTATTTTTTCTGTAAACCTCATAGCTACACTATGTAGCCCTACTGGCGTAGTGGTTAAGTGTTGAACTGCAATCTGAATGATCAGCAGTGCAATACCACTAGCAACTCTGTAGGAGAAAGACTGGGCTTCCTAGTCCCGTAAACAGTTTGTCTCAGAAACTCACATTGGGTCACTATGAGTCAGCATCCACACAATGCTTTAGCTTAGATCAGTCTCTTTTACCTATCTACCTAATCACAGGCTCTTTGTTTGGCAAGACTTTTACCATATTAGTATAAACAAAATGAAAACCCCACCACTGTCATGGAATTTATTTTGATTCATAATGACCCTATATAGGATTTCTTTCTGAGACTGTAAATCCCCAAGGGTGCAGATACCCTCAACTTTATCCATAGGAGCAGCCTGTGAGTTTGAACTGCTGATCTTTCAGTCCCATGTTTTCTGGACAACGCCTCTAGAGCTGAGTTCATTGCCATGTACCCGTGAAGTACACTGGACAGGATAACTCTGGACTCCTGACCAGCCATAAACCTTCGTCAACTTCAGTGTGAAAAATCTAGATCCATCTTTCTTAGAATGGTCCACAAACCATTGCATGTTTGTATCTTTAAAGGATAGAGCTCAGGGATGTACCTGTTTATTAATTTTCCTTTTAGAGTCCTGGTAGTGTAGTGGTTAAGCGTTGGGATGCGATTTGCACAGCCAGCGGTTCAAAACCATCAGCAGCTCTACGGGAGGAAGGCTGGACTTACTCCTATAAACAGTTTCAGAAACCAAAAGGGGTTCGCTGAGTCAAACTTTTCTCGAGTGTTTTTTGAGTTTTGTTGGAAGTTTATGAACTATTTCTTGACAATATCTGTGCTTATTTTACATAAAGTGGCCGCTTTCTGGAACAGCTATTTCTTCTATCCCCATTGAGAAAACCAAATGCAGCCACATCCACAAAGCTTTCCCTAACTAATTTGCCAAACCTCCACAGCTTTTGTTTTGGGGTGCATTGATATGGGAAAGAATTAGAACTGAGGTACAGAAAGGATTGAAGAATACAGCGATACCGCAGCTAAAATGGAGTTGGGATGATTTCCGGGTTTGTATGCCGGAGTTTGCACGTGAGGGGAGGTTGCAAAAAAGAGGTAGGAGAAGGGGGTGATGGGTGGCAACAATGTGGCTCCCAGGGCTCCACTGATTGGTCAAAGAGTAAATGCACTCTCCCTACAAGCACCACTCAGAAAGCAACATCTATTTTTAAAAAGAAAGGTGTGTGCAGAGTTGGTTTCGTCCAGTTAGTGCTTTGGCAAAGTATCTCTTGTGTAGCTCAAGCTTCCAGGAAGTTAACTGCTCTGAGGGGTGAACTGAATATAAGACCTTCAACCCACTTTAGACTGCAAAGTGCAAGCCTGAACTTCAACACTCCCCCATCACTGCGTGTATGTGGTTGTGTCCTTCTGGAAAGGTCTACTTCCACTTGTGGAAAGCCGCTGCCCCCCCCCGCCCCCCAACGCTTCTGTCTCCCACCCAACACCCCATGGGGATCCTCAGAGCCAGGGGCCTCCGCCAGAGACTGGCTGAGAGGACTGAACCTTCTGTACCAGGAGCGAGGGATTGATTCGGTTCCCCTCTCTTGGAAGCCTGGGCTCCTCAGCCTCAGGACTCTGAGGAAGGACCTCTTTTTCTTCTGCCCCACTTCTAGACCTCAAGGTTTCAGGGGATTCAAGGGCTAAAACCTTACCAGGTTCCTCCACGTTCTGTGGTTAGAGAGGGGTACAAACTCCGAATTCAGAATCTGCCCCCAAACGGGAATTCCATGGAAAATAGCCCCACATCAGAGTCTTTAATCAGAAGGGGAGTGGGGGTGGGGACTGGCCTGAAACTCTTAAAAAGTTTGCGGAGGGACCCCATGTTGGAGGGAATCATTTCTGAGCAAAGAGTCCCACAGGACTGCACCAAGCACAGGGGAGGGGGGAGGCGAGTGAGCTGTTCATGGTCAGATTTGCCTCCCCTCCTCCTTGACTCTAGAGGGTTCCAATATGATTCCACTATGAATTTGAAGCACTGCGCCCAAACACTCCCTGTCCAACTTCTGGGCTATGGCTTCAGGTCCAGGACCTCATCCTATGTCTGTCCCTGCAGTCGCCCTCCAGGTGCCCTCTTACCCTTGCCAACGAACCCCTCCTCTGCTCTGTACAGTGCACACATCCCAAAGTCCTTGGAGAGGCCTCCCCGCGCCTCGCACGGCACGCCCCCCACGGGCTCCCCGCCCACCCCGCCCCTCGCCTCGCCTCCCCGCACGGTGCTCTCCTATATAAACCGCCGCCGCCGCCCGCTGCACGCACTTCCCGCCCTCGCCTGCTTCCACGCCGCCGCCTCGCCACCAGCCCCGTCCTCTGCCCGCTCCGCCGCGCCGCTCTCGCCGCCCTTGGCCTTGGGAGGCTCCGCCGCCCGCAAACGCCCGACCTTCGCCACCTTCCGGGGAACCTTCCCCTTCTCGCCGCCACCATGGCCAACCCCGGTGCCACGCGTC